TTTACATTTAAAATAAGAAAACACATTTGCATTGTCTTATTTCAAGTGAATTTTATCTAAATATCTTATTTTAACATTAAAAATACTCATTCCATTGCCAAATCATCCCATTTACCTACTCAAATTAAGGGTATAGGGTAAATTTTTTCTTATTTATAGAAAATGTTTCCATTGTATATCCCTGACTCCACAGGAACGAAGTGAAGCAAATGAGAAAAAGTGATTTAAATTAGTGAAACTCCATCTGAAAAAGAGAAATTTGAAAAATTTAACTTTGAAATAAAGAAAAAAATATTTTGTATTATAATTTTTGTTGAAAAAAAACATCAAATCTGAGAAAGCAAAAGTTTTTGAATACATTTTTTTTTTAAATGTCTTTTTTACAAAGCAAAAGGATCTAGAAATGAGCAAAAATTAAGTGTATTTACCTTTAATTTGAGCAGGAAAATAAGATGATTTGATGCAGTTGATTTTCTCATTTTAAATGTAAATGGTCTTGTTCCATTGACAAAGTGTTTTAATTACCTCTTCAATTCAAGAAATAATCCACTTATTGTAAGAAAAAAAGACTCATGTAGAATGCAGTTTTTTTGCAGTGTGTTGTTTTGTCAGGGACGTGTATTGAAATGGAAACCGTAATAAAATGAGGAGTGGGGCCCCTCAGCGCTGACTGGCCCCGGTCTGCTGCAGGCTTCGCTCAGCCTCTGGTTGGATATTTTATTCTAGATGGTTCTGAGTGTTTCTGCTTTGTTCGTCTCAGTGGGAGTGTAAGGCGGACCTGGACAACGCCTACAGGTTCGGCCGTATCGAGGTGAGCTGCGAGGGATACAACCACCCCTCTGATGACTACATCCTGAAGGGCTCCTGTGGACTGGAGTTCACCCTGGAGCTGACCCAGGAGGGCCAGAGGAGAAGTCCAGGCAGCGCGGGCTCCCATGGGGGGTTTAAGGAGTGGGGGGGTAAGAGGAAGGCAGAATGAAGCCGAAATATTTCACTGAACGCAAACATTCAGCTCTTCTCTCGTCCTGCTCCCCCACCAGGACTTGGAGGTCTGGCCTCTACTTTCTTCAGCAGTTTTTTTGGAAACAAGCGGCACCAGAACCATAACCAGTACCAGAACCAGTACCAGAACCAGCACCAGAACCAGAACCAGCACCACTCAGACAGCGAGTCATCAGGCGGCCTGTTGGTGGTGGCTGTGCTTCTTCTATTAGCTTATGGCGTCTACAAGCTGTTCCTCAGCGGGGACGGCGCCCAGTTTGGGCCCGGTGGGGGGCAGGCAGGCTACCCTCAGGGGAACCATCCCCACAGCATGGGAGGACCCCCCCCTCCTGGCTTCAAGCCTGACTACACAGGTATGTGAGCAGAAGCAGAACCCCGCTGGATAAAGTCTGTCCTCCTAACATCTGCCTCCTCTATGTCTCCTGCTCAGACTCTCCAGGATCCAGTCCAGGATACGGTTTCCATAGCGATTACACTAACGGACAACGGTACCCAGGAGGCCGCGCCGGTCCGGGCACAGGCGGGGGCTTCTGGACTGGGATGGGGACTGGGGGAATGCTGGGATATCTGTTTGGACGTCAGAGGTGAGTGAAGATGGCGTTTAGAGGCGTATGAACGCCGTTCAGCCTTCAGCTTCCTGTTTCCTGTTTTCCAGGACGCAGCCGTGCAGCCCTCGTCCAGCCAGTGATCACCACTCCTCTGGGACCCGCACCGCTTCAGGTACGCAGGCCATAGACGGCAACCGTCCATCGGAACCAGCTGTTAAACTGAATAAAGTTTAGCTTTATAGTCACATCTAGAAGTTACAGCCTGATTTCTCTACTTATAGTTATTTTGAAGAAAAAGCAGAGCCTAGGGTTTAGAGCATATAGCTCAAAATACAGAGGTAGATTACTACTCAGGGTCCCTGAGCCAGATCCTTAAAGTTGTAGGGAAGTCATATTTAAATGTCAAATCATTTTGGCTTAAACATGGATATAAATGTACTCTTTATCGGACAATGTTGTCCCAAAAGTTAGAACATTTCTATTTAAAAAAAAAAATCCTGTCTTAAAATATATAGATATATTTTTTTTCATTATTTTAGGCAGGCCAGTTAGTTCTACGTCAGCCTGAACACCTAAATTCGACCAATCATATATCAACGGTCATCTGTCAATCAAATATTTTCGGTCATAGCATCTTGATTCATATGTCGCAGCTAATATACGCAACGGTTGAAACCAGAATCCTTTCCTTTCCCATTGAGTTCCGTCCCAGTGTTCACGGGGATGGACGTCTGTGTCTTCAGCAGGCGTAGAGCTAACAGAACTGGCAGCGTTGCGAGGCAAGGGCTCAAACATGTACGGCTGGAAGCCTTCTACACCAAACCAAGCTTCTGCCGCCCTGGCGTCCTCTTCCACAACATCTTCGTCCCCGCTTTCCTCCTCTAAATAAAAAATGGATGACGGAGGAGACTCATCCACGACCTCCGACACTAAACTCTCCTCCTCTTGCATGTTTCCTCTGTCCATAGCGTTCCTTGACAGCGTCGTTTCTAAGTCACCAATTTAGTGCTACTTGGTCCCAATGGAATTTCCCATTGGGAACCTGCTAGCACTAAGTTGCTAACTGGTTAGCAACATGATTCCGATAAACAGGCCACAATAAAACTTTCTTGTGAACCTTCCGCCACAACAATCCGCCCCCTTGTTAAATGACCAATTCACTCAGTCGGGAGAATTCAGATATGCAAAGGTTTAAACATCCCTACGAGTTTAACCCCAGATTGCTCCTCGGGTGACCCACAATGACAGCCCTCCCCCTAATAACTATACAAAACGATACTAAAAAATAATAATCATAATGGCTTGCTTGCCAGGGCAGGGTTGGCCTAGTGTTAAAGCAGAGCGTTTGTTCTCTGAGAAGGTTGCAGGTACCCTGTTCGATCCCCACAGTCTGCACACTGGATCTCTGAGCAAGACCTTTAACCCCCACACTGCTCCCTGGGTGCCACACAATGGCAGCCCACTGCTTGCCAAGGGGATGGGTTAAATGCAGAGGTAAATTTTAACAGAAATCTGAGATTAATAAAGTTGAAATATATCAATTATTATGAAGCAAAGACTTATATTTTATAAGACAGTGCTGCAGTGGGTAGAACTGCTGCCTTGCAGCATGTAGTTTGCATGTTCTCCCTAAGCTTAATTGGCTTCTCTTAAATTCTCCTTAGGTCTGAGTGTGTGCGTGAATGGTTGTTTGTCTCTGTGTTGCCCTGCGATGGACTGGCGACCTGTCTTGGGTGGACCCTGCCTCTCACCCGTAGACAGCTGGAGATAGGCACCAGCACCCCTCGTGACCCCACTTGCGATAAGCGTGATGGAAAATGGATGGAATAAATTGCTTTATAAATATATAAAAGCAAAGTCCTGAAAAATCCCATATTATTATATTTCAAGTCACACTGATTTGCGTCCCAACCAGTGAGTCTATTCAGCTCTGAGTCCAGACCAAAAAACAATGAGTTTTCTTCTATAATCTGTTATTATGGGTTATTATGGATTAGGGCTGCAGTGATCAGTTCATTTAGTGTTTGATTAACGTGTCCAGTATTCTTCTAATTATACTAAAAATACATACTTTCTATTACTAAATAAATGTTCAGAATTTAGAAAAATGATCTGTAGTATTTTAAATGTTAAATAGAAGCAGAGCAGAGAGCAGGTCAGACGGAGGTGAATCTGCTGGTTTATGGAGCTGATGGATCCATCTGATCTGTCTGACAGACGCCTGTTTGCTTCTCAGGTTTCGGTGGAACCAAAAGAAGATAGAAGCTGAGCGGAAGCAGCGTCTCCTCAGCAGCCCTGATGAGTGTCTGGACCTTCCATAGAGGGACAGAGCAGACTGTTGCTTCTGTTAGCAGAATCAGACTGCATCCATATTAAATGGATAAAGATGAAGGCACCAGTGAACCATGTGCTGAATCCAGGAAAATATGAAAATTAATCTGGACTTTCTTGTAGAAATAGAGATTATAGAATAATCTCTGATGTCCTCTGGGTCTTCTTTAATTAATGAATATTTGCAGCAGATGTTTGAGCTCTGTAACCTTCTCATCATGGAGGAAAGTAATGTTTTTATTTTTGTTTCT